GACCTGCTCGCTGCTCCCCTCAACAGTGTACCTTGTCGATCTGCCTATTCTGCCCCCCATTTTGTCTCTGGTGAATCTTCCTCACCATCCCTGTGCCTCTGGCTGCACCCTAGTTCTGTGTGCATACATGAATACATCTTTAAATAAAAAAATCATCCAAAGGAAGTTACTGAAAAGAAAACTACCTTTGTAAATACAGCAGAAAGCCCTAATCAAATAAAAGAAAATTTGAGAACTTCATCAGAATTTCCCCTATGTTTAAGATACTAAAATTAAGAGAGAGGAAAAATATTTTAGGCTAGAAAGATAATTCTTCAGTATCTGAGCTGCCCAATGGCACTTCACAAGTTGCAGATCCACCTACTAGCATCTGTGAGTTCTTTTTAAAAAAGAGGAAAAAAGGGCCCTCCCTGGTGGCACAGCGGGTTAAAGCATAGCACTAAGAAGCTAAAGCCACTTCCTCATGAGTTTGATTCCCACCTGCCCTGGAGGAGATCCACATGGCGTAGCAGACCTCTCCTGACCCACCCGCTGCTCCCCTCAGCAGTGTACTTCGTCGATCTACCTGTTCTGCTCCCCACTCTCTGGTGAAGCCTCTCACCCTCCACATCTCTGGCCTGTACCCCAGTTCTGTATGAATAAATAAATCTTAAAGAAAAAAAAGGGGAGGGGGAGGAAGAAAAATACCAGAATGCATTGCCTGTAGAACTATATGACTTCTTGAAGTTTTAACACTTGTAAGTATGAATGTGGTACCTTGAAATATGAACTGGATTTATTGTGGCTCACAATAACTGAAAACTTAAAATGGATTCCATAAAGGGTTTTAATCTTAAGCTTACCATTCAAACATAGCTTAGGATATGAGTAGCCATGGTCATTGCTTTATTAAGATAGTTTGATAGAGTCTCCCTGGTGGCTCAAGGACTTAAGTTTCAGCCTATGAAGTTATCTTCAGCCACTGCTGCACAAATTCAATCCTGAGCCAAGGAGCTGACCCACATGGCACGGCAGACCTCTCCTGTCTCCCTGCTGCTCCCCTCAGCAGTGTATTTCAGTCTATCTGCCTGTTCTGTCCCCCACTCTGTCTCTGATGAATCCTCTCACCAACCCCCTCTCCCAACTCCTATCCTGCAGCCCTGGCCTATAACCCACTTGTTGTATGCGTAAAATAAATCTTTAAAAAAAAAAAAAAAAGATAGTTTGATAACTTACATATTTTTCAAGCAACTTATTTATTTTCCGGCCCTTTGTAGTTTTTTGTTTGTCTTTAATTACTTCACTTAAAGAAGTATCATTGTTTTAGATCCTTGTTAATACTTTGACAGCACAGGAGTTCTCCCCTCTGGTGTGGTCACTATTGCTCTCCCACCCAGTACTAAAGAACCTATAATCTTCCGCAGAATCCACTGTGCTTCTCCTCCCCCTCTCACCTGGCGAACTCAGATGGATGGTCAGCTTTCAAGGCTTCGTTTTAATATTTGACCCTGTCTGACCCTTTGTTTGATTCTTCTATAGTCAACATATAAGTGACACCATCCTGTATTTATCTTTTTCCTTCTGGCTAATTTTGTTTAGCATAATCCCTTCCAGCTCCATCCCTGTTCCTACAAATGGCATGAGTTAATCATTCTTGATTGCTGAAAAGTATTCCAGTATATCATTCTGATCTACTCACCTTTTTGAATACGGAGGACCAGACTTAATCTCAGCTTTAACTGCTAAATCATTTATTGAAACTAAAATGCATATTTTATAAAGACATTGAATAGCATTATTGTACTAGTCTTAAATATCTTTTTAATCTTGCTTTTATATTTGTATTTATTATACATATAAAATGTATAATTCAATTTCATAGAATTGAATGTTTCTTGAAATACCATGATACAATTTGAAGTCTCTTAAAAATTATAAGAACCATATTTTCATGTTTTCACTTTACCATGACTATTAGAAATATGCAAAAGTATCTTTTTCAATTTTAATCCAGAGCAATGTTTGGCTTGCTTTAAATTACTATAATGTATATTTAAAAACTAAATAGTTTGACAAGCTAAAATCAAAGCTTATTCTCTCTTGATTTTCTCAGCATTTGATAAACTATTGCTTCTTAAACCAAATGACTTGAAAAGGTATTTAAATTTTTATGCTATTTAAACATTGTAAATATTATTTTTAGTTTTGCACTACAGCTATTTATTAGGAAGAAAAAGGCATATTCTTTGTTGGCTTTCTTCTGAATGAAGTAATTTAGAAGACTTCTACTACTTTCCTGCCCATGCAAAAGCCTGCCCACTCTTCCACTACCTTCATTTCTAAATCAGTCTCTCAGGAGAGGGAAAAGTTGTGGCTGATCTTATTAGAGATTTGTGCTTTGAAAGAACCAATGAGACTGGGAAGCCATTTTGAGCAATGGGCAGCACTCATGTACTACATGGCAACGAGAGAGCCAAAGATCAGTGCTCCAGAGGCCTTGGCTTTGAGATATACACCAGCATGGTGCAGGAAGATGGAGCCACGAATGCTAAGCCAAATAAATGGAAGCGTTGTGGAATCAAAGAGGGCTGTGTCGAGAGGTCTTCCGCTGCCCACTTAACTGTGAAAAAGACTTTTGTTAGAGGCATTAAAGAAGACACTGAGGAATATTACCACAGAAATTATTTTAAGTAGTATGGGCAACTGAAGTGATTGAAATCATGACTGGTTGAGGGAGTGGTAAGAGGATTGCTTTTGGAACTTTGATGACCATGAATCTGTAGACAAGATTGCCATTCAGAAATACCACACTGCGAAGAAAGCCCTATCTAGGCAAGAGATGGCCAGTTTTTCATGTAGCCAAAGAGGTCAAAGTGGTTCTGGAAACTAGTGGAGGCTGTGGAAGTAGTTTTGTTGGAAATAACTTGGTCATGCAAGAAGCTTCAGTGGTTGAGGTGGCTTTGCTAGCAGCTGTAGTGGTGGTGAATATGGTGGCTGCGGGATGGCTGTAAAGCATTTGGCAATGATGGGAACAATTTTGGAGGTGGTAGATGCTACCATGATTTTGGCAAGTAGAACAATCAACCTTCAAATTTTGGATTCAAAAAAGGCAAACACTTTGGAGGCCTTTTAGTGATGGCCTGATAGTGATGGAGGCCAATACTTTTGCCAAACCACAAAACCAAAGTGGCTATGGTAGTTCCAGCAGCAGCAGTAGTAGGGAGACGGTATTAATTACTGATTGCGAAACAAAGCTTAGCAGCAGAGAAGAGTCAGAGAAGTGACAGAGAAGGTAAATGTTACAACAAATTTATGAGCTTAGTCAAGTACAGTAGTGGAGGACCTAGCTGAAACAAAGGTGACATCTTTTAAACAATGCCTATATGCATGGGTAAAAACTTCAAGGATTGTATTTGTGACTGTTTTTGTGAAAGTTTATTTTTTGTTTCTGTTCGTGGAAATCATGAAGCATTCCAACAAAGGATTTTAATGTAGGTTTTCTGTGCTCATGATGTTGTTAAATGTAATTAAACAGGATGTTGAATGTCTTGTGAAAAAAGAGAAACTGTACCTACTGGTTCATGTGTAACAAAAGGTATTTCTTTTTAAATATTCCTAGCACTTCTGCCTTCATAAACCCATGTAGCAGTGAATCCTAAACTTTAAGCCTTCATCAAATCTGTGGAAGGAGAGCATTTTTAAAACAATTATTATTCTTTTTTAATTTTCTTACATCATTTTTCATTTTTGCACATTTGATTTCTTCCCTCATGTGTAGTCCCGTAATTCTCCCACCACCACACCACCTGTGATGATCACTACGGTCATTTGTGCTCTTGGTCATTTGTTGAGACTATTTAAAGTAGTTGAGAGGGTAGGCTCTCCAGTCAGACTTCAGGCCTTGTGTCTTATTTATTATATGATATTGACTCTTTTGCTTCATTTGCTTCCTCTGTAAAATAGAAGTAAATTTGGGCTTATGAGCCTTGTTATATAAAAGTACTTAAGAGTAGTTGGCTGGCACAGTATGTGAACTAAGTATCTATTGTTAAAATTTTGTTGAAAACAAATTTTCTTTCTCATAAACTCAACACCTTCACCTATTAGAACCACTGGAAATACTTTAGCTCACATTTTCCTGCCAGAAACAATTTCATATATAACATCTAAGGCTAGCTCTGAGAATTGTCAGGGGATCTGTAAAAGTTATTAGCATGGAATCTTACTAAGCAATGAATAAAAAGGTGGGCTGTTCAGAAAAAAGCTAGGGGTTATGGCCAGAGAAGCAAGAATATGTGTAGTTTACTAAAAGAACGGTTCTATAGTCAAAATAGTTTCCCCATCAAAAAGCTTCATAGAGAGGATTTCCCTGGTGGCGCCGGGGTTAAAGTCTCAGCGTTATATAAGTTTTGGCCAGGCACTGAAGCAGAGTCTGATCCCCAGCCAGGAGGTGACCCACAGGGCACAGCAGACCTCTCCTGTCTCACCTGCTGCTCCCCTCAGCAGTGGATTTCAGTAGATTCTCCTATTCTGCTCCCCATTCTGTCACTGGTGGATCCTCTCATCCCCCTGCACCTCTCGCCTACACCCCAATCCCTGTATGCATAAATTAAAATAAATCTGTAAAAAAAAATTTAAAAATATGTAGAGATAAAATTAATACAATGTAAATCCAATCTAAACAGGAATTTATTCTCATTTCCATAAAATGAGAGCTAATTGATTAGGGCAAACACATTTTAATAAAGGTACCCAAAAGGGTCAATGAGGCAGTAATATCCATGTATGATAATCAGCCTTACAGGTAGGAAAGGTCATACTTCTTTTCTACCAAAGAGGCCATTCTGGCACGAGAAAGGTCATTAATACGCTGAAAAGACAGCCTTACCAAGTCATGGGCACGACACACATGCTTTGAAGTTGGCAACTAAGATTCTCAAACCAATGGCTTAACAAGCGTTCTAAATGATTTCTGCTTAAAGTATAATTCTTTGCTTGATTAAAATTACATCCAGTCCATATAAGTTGAATGCATACCACACTTTAATAGTCAAAACAGTTCAGCTGTTTTTCTGAAGTACGTTTTGAACAGAGTTAACATATAACCCGTATATAACAATATTGCTGTGTTTTTAGTCATTTTATATTTAAGGGTCCAAAATAGATTATATTCACAAAATAACATTGCGCCAATCATTGCCTTATTTGTATTTCTCCCAAAAAACTCTCCTCTGGTCATACAATCTACATCACAGGAAATAACAAAAGATGATAATTCAGAGTCTCACCTCCATATAGTTCTAACTGCCCAAGAAACCTGCAAGTCAAGTTCTTAACCTTTAAAAATGAGCAAATTGTTCCAAAGCAGTCACTGTAGCCATATATTTAGGATTTGTATTTGTAGCATTAGACATACGGCCAAAAAGTGGCCATACATGTTATTGTAATCTAAGTCCCATATCAAAAATAAAAAGGAAACAGAATTGAAATTATTTTGCAATTACAAGAGCAAACTTGAACAAAACTGAACAGTTAGACATAACTCCTAATTTCTCTTTAACACCGAGAGCACTGCCACATTTAGAGGTGTGAGGCAGTCTGCGATGCATTAGAGTGTGATTAATCAGAGTGCACTTATGACCATAAACTCAGGTCCTATGCCATGTAATTAACTCTTGCCTTTCCCCCAAAGAACCATTTGCTCTTGAAGTAATAGGCTTTTAAGGCACATTTAACAAAATCCCATCATATACCCAGCTTACTAATGGAAACTCCACCTAATTACAATATATATACCTAAGTGATGTGTGGTTTACCAGACAGACAAGTGTCTCTATCTTGAGGATAAAGTCAGATTAGAAAAGTGAGTATTTCCTTATTCAAAAAGAAACATTATCTAAAAATATTAGAGAATTAGACTTATAAGAATAACTCACATGTACCAGCCTGTTGCCAAAGGTCTAACAAGGTATAGGTCTGAAAGTTAGGGAAAAGACTTCTTCAGAACCCTGGGTTCCTGCTTCCCAGGTTTCTGAGGAGAATCATGAGGCAGGGACTTAGTGTGTCTTAATGTTACTTAGAATTCGCCTTCCAAAATGCATAGAACCTTGAGAGGGTTCAAACCTTACAACTCAGTCAGCTACTATCTAAAACTGCAGTTACAAACCTCAAAGAAATCCTCAGGGAGAGGAGAGGGTAGAGAAGCCACAGATAGCAGTGGGATAGGTTCAAGGACAGGACGAGTTGTTTTAGGAAGTTGATCAATTTTGCTAAGACCTACTTTGGTGTCCCAATGAGGCTCTGCTTAAAAAAAGACTTTTTTTCCTTAACATGCACAGATATGCTTTAGGGTGCTGATCCTTAGGATGGACATAGAATTTTCTGCTTGGAATGGTTTGGTGTGCGGTTGATTTAGGACTTCCTGATCATTTACAGTAAACACAAGAGGGAAGATTTACAGAAACAAATACACAGCTAACTGTATTATCTTCCCTGGCCACCCACTCCCCACTGATCAGGGGCTTTTAGCAGGTCTTTTCTGCTGTGCAGAGTGTGCTGCTGGCAAGCTGAGCTCCAGCTCAAACATAAGGTGGAAACAAGCAAAGTCCATGAGACAAACTGTCACTGATGAGGAGACTCATAGGTGACAAACATGCCCACCATGATTAAGCTCTGTGGTTGAGACCTGAGACATTCTCTGTGGTCATGGAGCAATAAGAAAATCTGGTGCTAAGTGAATATTTTAAATGTTGTACAAAAACAGGTCCACTCTACACAGCAGCCAAACATAGAATCATGTATGCATTTTCAAATCTGCAGTTGCCAATCACATATATTTTAGAAACCATGTTACCTCTGATATTACTTTAACCCCAACTGACAGATACAGGAAAGTCTCCAGAAATCTGAAATTCAGCAACGTTCTAATTTTTCTCCAGTGACCGGCACTATTTTGGAAGTCTGGTCCCAAAGATTCTAAAGAACAGTAATGCAGCAGAAAGAAATAACCTCTGTAGAAAACGATTATAGAGATGTGTGTTGAGGTAAAGAGTTTTGTAAAAACTGTTGAGTAGGGAAGCACTGCCACGGATACAGAAATTTTTTAGGTAAGTTTGGTGCTATTATTACTCTACAAAACTGCCATTTACACCAGTGATAAATGAGGGCGTTTTTATTGCTCCTGGAGCTTGATGCTCCAGTCTGTTCCAACTCCACTGAAAAATGATTTTTTCTCAACAACTGGTAGCAAAGATTCCCAAATTTATAAAAAGTCATTGCCAATGCATTCTCTTTTTGATTAATTTTCTGATTGCCATATTGAGTAGACTATATAATATGCATGTCCTGAACACCAAGTACAGAAAAAAGCTTAGAAAATTCGTTTATCAAAGTTTTCATTCAATGAGAAAAAAACATGAAAAAGTGCAAAATATATACAGTTCCTGGCAGTTCTTACACAGGATTTTTCTGGCGACAGATCATAAGATTTTACAATTGTGTAATGAAATTACAGTGGATTTCACGTCATTGTTAATATACAAGTTTTTGCTTCAAAGTGCTTACTTTATTGAAAAAAACAGATGACCAAGAAGGTTGCAGGATTCTTTTTTTTGAAGAACAAATCCATGGCATGTGTCCCAATCTCCTTTTTCCTTCTTCCTTTAGTGCAACACAGTGTAGCAGCCTCACTGACAGGTCTGATTTCAGGAGACGGTACTGGAACCTCACCTACAGCAGCACTCTAGGGGTGCCATTGGGTGTAGCTCCTTTTTTTTTCTGCAGACGATTCTGAACCTTTCGCGATTTCACCACTTTCATTCTCACCTCAAAAACTTCATGGATGGCCTTCCGGAAGCAATGAAAATTATAGTCGATTAGCCCTGGAGAAGGGAAAAAATATTTAGCAATGTCACATAGCAAAAAGTCTCCAAGTTTCCATGTCTGCCAGGTCCAGAACAAGCAAGTAGGTAGGAGGAGGGGAATCCACAGATCTCCTTGGGAGACCTGCAGCTGAGCTACAGGAAGCCTCAGACAAGTCTCATGAATGTTTTATTTTTTCTTCATGAAAGATTCCAGGATATATACTGTATTTTCAAAGGTGTCTATGACCCAGAAGATTTGAAACACTGAACACAATACTACTTTTCATCAAAAGGCATTATTGGCTGAGTAGAGGCAGACTCTGACTTGAATTGTGGCTGAGATCTCAGAGATTAATGAATCAATCTTAACTGAAAACTTATTCTAGATAACCCATTTTATCCGAGGAGAGCCAAGTCCTTGATTTTAGCATAACAGTCATCTCAGATCAAGTCTAAGCTCACAAATTCAACAACCAATGACATTCTCAATTTCTTAACATTAGGTTCTCAACATTCTAGTACTAAGTTTTAAATAGAAAAATAGTAGGGGAGAATCATCTTGTGTTTTCACACATTAATTGGTAGTAAAAACAAAATAAAAGACCATCCAGTCTTGAGCACATTTTCATCAATACCACTAACCTCTAAAATTGCTAAGAGTAATGTTACTTTTATAAGATAAAGCAATTGGTTACATTTACTATCTCACAATTATTAAAATAACTAGCCCAAGTATTTTGAATATTTCAAGAGCCCCAAGCAAAATAAATGAGAAAAAAAAAAAAGATTGGGATTTCAGACAAGGAGTGATGTTTTTCAGAGTCATATAAGCAAAGGCAAATGCAGTGGAGGCAAACACAGGTCCACTCCCAGTAGCACAAATCCATCTATGTAGTGCCCTCTGCTGTCTCGGCAGCACATGAGACGTCAAGTGCAGTAAAACTAGGAGGCCAATTCCTTCCAGAAAAGAGCAATGAGGCAGTAAGGGTAGAGTAATATGAAAGAAGCAGGGAGCAAAGACCCTTTTGCTTATTCAGCGGGACTTTGGATAGGAGATGTGAAAAGCAGCTCACCATTTTCTGCCTATAATATATTGAATCAAAAAATACATATATTGAATCAACTGCTTTAGGAAGTAGGACTTGAGTGAGCTTCAACTTGGGGAATTTCAAAGACATCTTGTTGAAAGTTCTCCACAATTTCCAATGTCTTCATTCTGGTACATTTTAAAATATAACAGTAGGCCCTCCCTGGTGATGCATGGGGTTACAGCACAGCACTATGAAGCTCTCCACAGCCACTGCAACATGAGTTGGGTCCCCAGCCAAGGAGCTAACCCATATGGTGGGGCAGACCTCTCCTGACTCCCTTCAACAGTGTATTTCGGTAGATTGGTCTGTTCTGCTCCCCACTCTCTCTGGTTAGTCTTCTCATCCTTTTCCCTCGACCCACCCCCTTAACCCCCTCCTCTAACTCTGGCCTGTACCCCTGGCTGGGGATCAAACTCATGCAAATAGGTTCACAGTGCTGTGCTTTGATTCTTGTACCACCAGGGAGGCCCAATAAATAAATCATATGTGTGTGTGTGTGTAACATATATATGTGTGTGTGTGTATATACATATATGTGTGTGTAACATATATACACACACATATATGTATATATATATAACATATATAAGATAAACCTCACTTCTGAATTTTTACCTTTAAACTTATATATGTGTTATATATGTAACAGCAATATCACTGCACTTGGAGTTTTAAAAGTAAAAATTCAGAAGTGAGATTTTTCAAGGAAGTAAGCATACATATACAAAGTGTTTGCTATTTATTTCAACCCTTTCATTAAAGAAACTAAAAATACATGAACAGAATAGGCACTACTTTTACCACCACAGTTTTGTGATGGTTCTACATCCTTCCCTGTTCAGTGGCTCTCAGCCTTGGCTGCATTTAAAAACTTTAAATTTAAAAAGAAAAGAAATTAAAAAAAAAAAAACAAAAAACTAACAGGCCCTTGATCCCTTGCTTGGGGGAGATATCTGTACTTTTTTAACCACCCAGGTTTAAAGTAGGAGCAGGGCTCTCAGGCTTGGCTACTCTAGGAAACATGCCCATCACAGGCAGCCAAGCCTGAGACCCTGCACGAAAAGCTGCATGTGTTTTCAATCCTCTGTTCTTCCAAAGCAGTCACAGGCCATCAATAAAGATGAGGAAGGAGTTTAATAAGACGGAAAGCTAATTAAGTGATGGTTATCAGCCTCAACAGAATTCAACAACACGAGATGAAAGCAACAATAACAAATCAAACTGCCTCATATATTTATAAGGATGAAGTTCCTTTTAAAGACAGCTACCTGTTCCAATGACTAACTCATCCTATTTGCCTGGGACGGTCCCAGCCTCAGCACTGAGGTCTCCTGCCCCAGCACCCATCTCCCACTACTCTGTCCTGGGCAAATGGAGATGGTTGGGCACAGAAAAGCACCCACATCAAACAGCACCTGCCAACTTACTCACATTTCTTAGTTATGACACTAATACACAGGTTTCTAGTTAATTTAATACTATAAACTCTGCCTATCTTAAGAGAAATGGCTTAGCAATAAATTACTTAAGATCCGGCCCTCCCTGGTGGCGCAGCAGGTTAAAAACAGCACAAAGAAGCTTAAGCCACTTCTGCATGAGTTCGATCCCCACCTGCCCCGGAGGTGGTCGACCACATGGCGTGGCAGACCTCTCCTGACCCGCCCGCTACTCCCCTCAGCAGTGTACTTCGTCGATCTGCCTGTTCTGCTCCCCACTCTGTCTCTGGTGAATCCTCTCACTCTCCGCATCTCTGGCCTGTACCCCAGTTCTGTATGAATAAATAAATAAATCTAATAAAAAAAATTACTTAAGATCCACAGGATAAATTCCTGCATAAGTTTATTACCCCAAGCAGAGATGGATACTAAACTCTTACTCAATCATTAAAATGAAATGAGGGCCCTGCCTGGTGGAGCAAGGAGTTAAAGCACAGCACTGCGAAGCTAGTAGACACAGCAGCTTCAGGAGTTCAATCCCTGGCCAGAAAAGTGACCCACATGTCACAGCAGACCTCGCCTGTGTCACCTCCCCTCAGCAGTGTACTTAGTCAATCTGCCTGTCCTGCTCCCCACTCTGTCTCTGCATCTTACCACCCCTGCATCTCTGATCTGTACCCCAGTTCTATATGCATAAACAAATAAATCTTAAAAAATACAATAAAATGGGGCCGTCCTTGGTGGTGCAGCAGGTTAAAGCACAGCACTATGAAGCTATCCCAAGCCACTGTAGCATGAGTTCAAGCCCTGGCCAGGGAGGTGACCCACATGGCACAGCAGACCTTGCCTGTCTTGCTTGCTGCTCCCGTCACCCCCCAAACTTCTGGCCTGTATCCCAGTTCTCGTAAACATAAATAAAAAGTAAATCTTTGAAAAATAATATAAATGAAATGACATGGTTAATGAAATAGAAATGAAATAGACTGAGTGAAAAAAATAAGTTTATAATAATTTAAATAATGATTATAAAGTGGTATTTATCATACAACCCCACAGTTCATCATGTATATATGAAAAAGTTTAGAAAGTTACACAGAAAATGTGACGAATAGCTGAGTAAGAAGATTATCAATTTTTTTGGCTTGCTATTTCTAAATGTTCTAAATGAATCCATTACTTTTGTGATAAAAATTAAACTTTAAATTATGTTTTCATAGTCAAAGAGTTAGGAACCATTTCATGGTATAATTAGGCCAAAACAGGTTATAAGACTATATAATCAAAAATTGCGTGTTATGGCCTCACTTTTGTTGGAAGGAAGGGAAGGAAGGAAGGGCGAAAGCTAAGAAAAGGGAAGAAAGGGAGCGATAGAGTGTTGCAGGGAAGAGAGAGGGGAGAGAAAGAAACTTCCAGAAATTTAACTCTAGGTTATAAGTGATTTAACCCTCGTCCTTAGATGTTCTTAGATTTTCAATGTATTTTCATGGTGAGCATATATTGCCCATAGTGAACAACAGGCTAGCTTAGTAAAAGTTACTTTAACCACTTCATTGGGAATTTTTTATCAAAAAAAAAGACAGAAAGAAAGAAAAGAAAAGGTAAATTATACCCTAGTTACTAGCAAAAATCCTACGTTGGTTAGCTTGTATTTCCTGGTTCAGATAGTAGGGTGAAAATGAGTAACTTCATAAGCTTGCTTTTGTCTTGAAATTAAATTTGGTCCTCTGTGGTGATGTTCATAAGTATATTCCTGCAGTCCCCTTTCAGAATCATGATGATAGTTATTGCTGTGTTCTGAGGCATTACGAATGTGTAAGGGCTGAACAGAAGTTAAATACTGTCCAACCTCAATGCTGAAAAGTCCCATCTTCCCCACCCTTACATGGTCACATGATCCCTGGAACTTTCTAGAGATTGGACCTAATGGGAGTCACCACCCATAATACCCGGGCAACAACTCGCCAGCAAGCTCCATTGGCATAAAAGCTAAACCCAGGAGGAAGGTCAGCTAGCTCCAATCCATCTCCTGGCAGCTGTCATCACTACAGGCAAGAACGGTTCAAGGATCCCTAACTCTGATATGGGCACAGCCCAGGGGCCGGTAAGATTATGTCCAGAATCCTCAAGAGGTGTGCTGCTGTGCACCCACGTTCAACAAGCAATAGAGGCAGTCGGAATGGAAATGGTTCTTTTAAACCACACACACAAAATAATTACCTTTTCTTTCAAAGCTTTCCTCTCTGACAAAGCAAACAAGAGCCAGGAATTTTGTCACCTCTTTTAAGTAAAGAACTGTTGTATTATTCAGCTTTATAATGGCTGTTGATTCCTTGTCATAGGGGGTTCCTGCTCCATCTTCTTTGAGACTAAATGGGAATAGAAACCAAAATATATTTGAGCATTGAGAAGGAGCCACAAGCTTAACTTAGCAATGGGAGACCAGCTTTAACATGGAGTGAAAATCACAATAATTTGTTTGTACTTACAGTGCCTTTCCGCAAAAGATCTCAGAAATCCATAATCACAATGGGCCCTCCCTAGAGGCACAGGGGTTAAAGTTTCAGCACTATCAAGCTATCACCAGCCACTGCAGCATGGGTTTGATCCCTGGCCAGGGATTTAAACCACATGACACAGTAGACTTCTCTTGTCTCGTCCACTGCTCCCCTCAGCAGTGTATTCCAGTAGTTTTGCCTGTTCTGCTCCCCACTCTGCCTCTGGTGAATCTGCTCCCCACCCCCCAACACACATCTCTGGCCTGTACTTCAGTTCTTATATGCATAAATAAATAAATCTTAAAAATATATAAATATATATGGTAGTATTTAAGAAAAGGTGAGACCTGTAGACACAAATGGCTTGGGTTTGAATCTCAGCTCTGTCATTAACTATGTCAACAAGGCCAAGTTGAGTCACTTCTTTGGGCCTTAATTTCCTCAACTGCTGTATATTAACAAGAATCACTGCAAAGTTTGCTACTGCAACTTTAAATATATAAAATGGTGTACGTATATGTGTATGTGTGTGTGTGTGTGTATATATATATATATATATCACTGTACATAGTGCTGAGAACATATGAAATACACAATAAATGTTAAATTAGAAAAAATAAACTTTAAACAAATTAGAAAAACAAAAAAAAAATACAGAGAAATTGGTCAGTTTTTACCACTGCAAACACTATATACTACTAAAGTTTCCATCCACTGAGCAATGGATTAGCAGCTGTTCCATCTTCGAGAACGCACAAAGATGGAACAGGTTTTCAAGTACGTGTGTGAGCTTGTATACATCAGACCAGCTGCAACAGAAGCTCAGCTGAGTGAGAGTCCTGAATAGATTCCCTGAGGCCCCAGGTTACCTATTCCTACCGACTGCTGGTTTCTGTGGAGTTGCTAGGACCCACAGCAAGATTTCAACTACAGGGTGGCCTGTGTCCTGGGCTGCTGACACATCCCAGGCAGGCTAACTGGCCAGCGGCCACTCCAGTAAGCAACCTGAAGAACCCCTACGGTCCCTGCTGCCTTTCTGACCCAGACCGGTCCTTAGTGAACCCAGTGGGTTCTCAGAAACACAGCACTCCACGGCAAAAAAACAATCTGACCACAAGGCCCAACTTCCATTTCCCTCATCCTCCCAACTCCCATGTTTGTTTTAGTGGGGAAGAAGTAATTTTGATTAACATCATTTACACGAACTACTTACTCGTAGTTATGTTTAATTATCAGATGGCATGATAATGATTATGCATATTGTTAAATATGTGCCAAACTCATTGTTTTTCATTGTATTTGATTATGACAGTGATCTAGATTGTCATCAGTGTACATTTAGCTTCTGAAACTCTAAGTCATCCAGCTATGATTTTAAAACAATAGAATATTGCAAGGCAGAAATCTGGGGTCTATTTATAAAGCCAAATGGCAGTGTGCAATAAACAGCAACAATAGCAGCACAATAGTAGGCGACTACATCTCTGCATGGTCAACCGGGAGAAACCTAGAGGTCTTTCATCCTCATAGCGCCCTATGAGTAGCACTTTCCCTGCTTCACAACAAAAGGGACTAAGTGTATGCATGTGTACATGAAGAGAGTTAGCAGAGAGAACCTAAACTGAACGAGCAAAGGATTTTTAGCAGGCAAGAGAGAAATGGCAAGACTCAAGACTCTCATAGAAGCTGACAGAGGTCACAGCCAGTGAGTGAAAGGGAAGATGAACAAAAGCTTTCCCTCACTAATGATTAGATAAGGATGTAAGATCCAATACAGACACCAATATCTTAACATCTTAAAAAGATAAACTATTTCACACCCATTCGTTCTGCATAACAATCATCATTCATACTAATGTGAAATTGCTTCTGTGTCTGACAATACAACTAATTTTCCTCACTTCTTGTTTATTTCATATCATTTAAGTGTACAAGAAGTTCTGTTTTCCAAGAATGTGAGACTCTAATAGTAAAAAGGTACAGTTTTGTTTTTTTTAAGATTTATTTTTATTTACTTATGAATACAAGAACTGGGGTGTATGCCAGAGGTGTAGGGGGTGAGAGGGTTCAACAGAGACAAGAGTGGGGAGCAGAGCAGGTGGATCTACTCAGTATATCGTTGAGGAGACAGGAGAGGTCTGTTCCTCACCGTGTGGGTCAGCTCCCTGGTCAGGGATTGAACTCATGCTGCAGTGGTTGCACATAGCTTGATAATGCTGAAACTTTAACTGTGTCACAGGGAGGCCCTGTTTCCTCAGTTTACAGTTCTGTTACCCATAACAAAAGTCAATCAAAAATATATTTAAAGAAAAAAACCAGCAGTTTTTCTTGTAACAAGGTCAGAGAACTGCTGTTGATAGGAGATTTTTATTTAGAGTTTAAGGATCCTATGGGTCTCTCCTGAATATTATAACATCATTATACGATGACAGAGGAACCAGAATTGAATTTAAATCCCAGTTCCATCTCTTATTGACAATGTAAGGAGGGGTGAGAAACCTAGCCACTCTGAGCCTCAGTAACCCCATCTGCAAAATGGACATAGTAATTCTTGTCCTGTGGAGTCTTGAAGAAGTTAATGATACAGTAAATGCAGTGAGGTTATTATCATAATGCCAGATATTCACTCTTTATTATTATTGCATGCAGTGTCATTTAAAACAGAAGTATTACTATTAGAAAAGTAAATGCAAAATGTCTCAAAGGTTATGAAAGAGATGTATGGCTTCTGTGTGGCCTTGAATAATGTTTTACTTACCCATAAATACAAGAAATGTCAATAACCACATCTATCATATCACAGCAGAGCTCATACGTTTGCATATCCACGGGGGTACTATCGGTTGCAATATAAATTTTACTGACCACATCAAAGAGAAAGGCCTTTTCAATTCCAGAATTCTAAAATGAAAAGAAGATGCTCTTTTAAAGTGATGCTGAATTCAGACCATATCATGGTTATAAAAGATTTTATATCTTCACTGTAAAATAAGAACAGGCAAATATGAAGTTAAGAAGTTAAGTTTCTAAGTTAGGTTGGTTTGTTAAAATTTAAACCACATCATAAACTTCTTTATATTGAGATTTCTTTATAAGAAATGAAAAGTGAAATTTAATCATCATAAATAATTTACTTTATGTAAACAAACTGGGCAGTGTTTGCTAACTTAGGGGGTATCTGCAGTTAGAGAAAAGGTCAGAAAAGACTCATTTTACTGACTTTAAATTTAAAAATCTAAACAAATTCAAAACTATACAGTGAGGACAATGTAAGGATAGCAGCAGCTCTGCCTCCCTTCTATTCTGCAGTCTGCCCTCAGCTGGAAGTTTCTAGGAGGCATTTCAATCAGAAACAGTCATTTAACGCTTGCAATGTTATTCTCAAATTCTGCAAATGACTGTAGCAAGATGATAGTATTTACTTACTGATATAAAGATGTTTAGCAAGTTCTCCAGGGTAGGAAGTTGAGGAATCAACTTCTGAACCACTTTGCTAAAAGCTTCAAATATTGAATGATCATATATGCTTGTCAGATAAAAGCTGAAAGAGGAAACATTTCGTCACATTTTCACTTTGACTGAGAAGTGGACTGTTTCAGCCATGTCGCAACACCAGGACCTACTTTTGTTATTAGAATCCTTGCACACACCTACCAGCTCCCATCAGAAAGTCAAAATGACCTGAGCAAAAAACAAATACATCTTAACAAGTCACTCCTCCCCAGCTTACAAAAACCTGCAACTGGAGACTCTTTAGTGGTGCAGAGGGTTAAGTCTCAAGCGGCCAGCACTGCCCTAAGAGTTCTGTCCCAGGCCTGGGAGCTGAGCCACACAGAGGGCTGGCACAGGGCAGCACACCTCTCCTGTGTCGGCCCACTGCTCCCCTCAGCAGTGTTCTTCAGTAGATCCACCCGTTCTCCTCCCCATTCTGTCTCTGGTGAATCCTCTCAACCCCTGAACCTTTGGCCTACAGCATAGTTCCCGTATACATAAGTAAAGTCTTTTTAAAAAACAACAATGCAGAACTCTGTCCACTTTTGTGTGCTAACTGGCTAGGAAGATTGAACACTGAGTGGTGGGCACCAGCACCAGCTCCCTCACAGGCTGCAGGGCATGGGCACCTCAGCACCTTCACACACGCCCCCAGGTGAGTTAAAGGCTGTACTATTGATACTGAAGTGCCCGATTTGTTCATTTTCCAATCTGCAGAATGAATGACACATGAGCTGCTCCACAACATATGAAAGATGTGGATTTCTCTATTTGAATTTTTCTCAAAAGCTTCTTTACTCATGATTAGAAAATTATCATATTTATCAAGAACTGTAAACTTCAGCATTGATTAACTTCCTGGATTAGGCTCATAGGCTTTATTACGTAGTTTTCACATGAGGGAAAAATCTTCATTTTGACCATTACTTAAAAAAAAATTTAATAACATCATTGCTTTTCCTAAATATTAGAATTAGCACATGAAAACCTTGCTTTCCCCCAATATTCTCCCAGTGTCTAAAAAACAAAACAAAGCAAACAGATACATTGCTGTCCATGCCAAACTAGTTACTTTGGCCCCCAGACCTGCATTTTCCCACCAATTTCTGTGATCCCTCAGGGATTTCTGTTCTCACCTGAGGTGAATTTTTTCTAATCCAGCATCTGCAAGGTCATCATTTGCTCTCTGATGAATATCTCTTTGGGTTTCAATTTTGTGATCATCTGACAGACCATCCACTTTATGAATAAACACCTCAAAGTTGATGTCGGTGTTCACTTTGTAGGCCCGGGTCACCGTGAGGTGGAGTCGAGCAAGGGCCTCCATGTAGTCATCCTAGGATCAAAGGCACGTTCCTGTTAGAGGAGCTGCACCCCTTCTTGAGCCCGTCAACAGACTTCCATATACACTCTTATTAAGTTACAAATGGCCTTATGCCTTTTAGATGTACAATGCGAGGTTTTGATCCCCCAGACAAGCCAATTCAATTTTCTTTCACCTAATTTCAGTTACCTTGTTTTTTTCTTTCACATATACACATAATCTGGAAGTGATGTGGGTACAACCCCGCAAAATATTGTTCAAAAGTCTGAATTAAGCTGTTTTTGCAGTCAAGTTTGAAATTTTAAATTCTGTTGAGAGGGAGGAGAAAGGCTAGAAAAACACAACTACAGGCAGTTAATTTACTTGAGGACAATGATAAAGGTCAGAATTGTAGTTCTATGACTAAAAATTACCTCATGCCACCTAGAATGATAACTCAAGATGATCCCTCCAAGAAGATTTGAATCTCTTGTGAACTGTGATGAATTATTATAGACAGAAATGTGATATGAGCCTTTGGGATGAGGGGACAGGAATAAGAAAGAATTTAAAAAGCAAGGTCCACAGCAGAGGTCAGCATATCACAGCCTGTATACCACATTGGGTCCATTGCCTGAACTTTGCAAGTCAAGTATTACTTGATGTGAGTTCACAGATGGTCTATGGCTCTCTTGTGGTTGAATAGCAGAGTTGAATGCTTTCCCGTGGCAACTCCTCAGACACAGAACAGACTGCATCATCTAAACTATTTAAAAGGTTTCTGTATGGATTGGTCTGATCTCATTGACATTCAGAATGTCTCCAGCTATGTGCTCCAAATAATGATAATGTGGAGAGTACAGTGCATACATTTCTGTGTTCGTCAGTACTTTTTAGGGCTCATCCTGAAGACAGGCTGGGTGGGTCAGAGGATGAGCAACTTGACCAGGTAGTGTGTAAGAGTAATTTACATACAGTAAAGTGCACTTCTTTTAAGTGTCCAGCACTATGCGTTTGACAAATATACACTCATAGTAACCACCTCACCAACACTGTGTTGCCAAATTGCTTAATTACTGACAACTTGAAGGGTATGAAAAGGTTCTCTTTGTACAACAAAAAAGTAAAAAGCTCTATCTGTGGGAAACAATTTAGGGACTTTTCACCTACCATTCTGACTCTAAACGTGGAGCAATCCAAAGCCAATAAAACAGGGAGGAAATGAACTCTAAAGAGTTGTTGAAAATGAAATTAAATATAAGACACAGCAGATTACATGACCAGGAAGATTCTAGATTAATCATTTGTAGCCCTTTTTATATCTTAAGATATCTCAAGTAAAAGCTAAAGTTATCACTATCTGGTTCTAAGCACAGGATATTTCAGAGAAGACAACCTCATCTATAGTGACCAAAAACACATCAGCTATTATTACCTGGGGCTGAGGTTTGGGGGAGTATCTAAGAAAGTACACAAAAGAACCTGATGGATAGTCTACATCTTGATTGTGAGGTGGCTACCAGGTATGTATATTCGTCAAACTCACAGTACTGGACACCTAAATTAAGTAAACTTTACTGTATAAATTACACCTAAAAAAAAATACTATTATTTTGTTTTTAACTGAAGACAGAATTAAGAGGACCTGTCATGTCTGTGGGCAAAACTAGCCAATACCAGGAGAGAAACACCACCCCAAAGTATCAAAAATTTCTATTCTAACCTCCCTGGCAAGCATATAAGATAGTCTGCTAACCAACAAATTCCAAATGGATATAGCTGCAAAGACAAAAATGACATTAAAAATAAAACACTTGATCTGTTAAACCAGAGGGACTGTGAATGATTTTTTTTCCTACTGTGTTTATCATCTTCTTTGACAAATAAAGGAAAAATATGCTGCCTGGTTTCCATTCCAAAATTAGATCTAGGAATTACAGGCTGGTCACAACCACCAAGGAATTACAGGCTGTCCACCAAGTGGACATTCTGTTTTGGATCCAAGGCACATATGAAAAGGCTTCAGGGCCCCCTAGCGGCCTGCAGACGTGGGCCATTCTCAGAGTTCTGCTGGTCATGTCACTGTGTAGCTCGCGGGAATCGCTCTTGACGCTCTTTTCCTTTACAACCTTCTATTAAGGACTCATTTTCTCCTTGATGGTAAATTTGTCTGGTAATCCTTAAGATTGTGAAGAATTCACAAGCAAAAAATAAAATTATGAGGTGTAAGACTAACAGAGCACTGCTTAGAAATAAAGGCAATGATACTGAGGTACCAGCAAGGCACTGACAGCTCTATAGCATGGTGTTCTCTTCAGTCCTTCTAAGCACATCATGTAAAAACTCCTGCAAACTTTACAGTCCAGTTCCAACAGAAAGGTATACTAGATTCTGAAATGTCTCATTTACTTATTCCTTATTTTTGGTAAACGACAGCTCTCAACATTGTTTTCCTACCAGCTGTCAAAAAGAGTTTAACTTGAAAAGATTAATTCCCTGATAGCCCACGAGTTAAGGCTCAGCACTATCACTATGATGGCCTGGGTTCCATCCCTGGCCAAGGAGAGAGCTAACACACATGTGACTCCGCAGACCTCTCCAGTCTTCCCTGCTGCTCCCCTCAGCACTCTATGCTCCCCCTTCTGACTCTGGTGAATTCTCTCACCACCCCCACCTCCAGTCTACAAAAACAAAAAAGATTAATTTCTCAGATATCCTTATACCTTTCTGTGCCCTACAACTAAGGAAAAAAAAAATTAACAAAGCAACATCAAACACATTTACCAACTGGAATTGAAGGTCCACTTTTCATGCTCAGGTAAAATTAAAAACAGATTATACCTGTAGTTTGAATATAGGTAAGTGGGCCTATTGTAGTGATACAATACCCATGTTACAACCACATGAGAGAGAATGGCACTGGAAATTTTAATTGCATGAATGCAAATTGCTAAAAAAAAAAAAAAGCAAAGCACGATACTGAAGTATTTACTATGTTATGTCTTGAAGTGATGAGACATCTGGTTGGATTCTGCTTCCGCACAGGTAGGGAGGGCTACCACGGTTGCTACCTAGCTCAACAACTGCAGCAACAGCTGCTGCGTGACCAGTGAATACCGGAGCAGGAAAGGGGGAAATGAGTATGACAGCCAAGGGACCTCTTCTCCCATGCAGGGGTGTGTAAACATTCCACCACTCCACTCCAAGCTAACTTGTGGTACTGGTAGGATCTGAGGCAAGAAGATGGAGGATCTGACCCACATTTGGGTCAGGAAACAGGTCAATATAAGCCAGATAGGCAGAAAGCAGCGACTGACAGTAGGCCCTGGACCCACTGCAGGTGAGGAGAAGCAAATATTTTAGATGGGTGTGTGGGCAAAGGGGCGTGCTCCCCACAGATAGGCACTGGAATTGGAAGTCTCCATCCTCCACACCTCTGTCAGGAAAAGAAAGAACACCTCCTGACCACGGCCACACTCCCACAGCTACACAAGAAGTACACAGAGCTGTCTCTTGGAACTTACAAGGCTCAGTTGAAATTTTCATTATTATTTCAAGCAGGAACCTAGATCCTGAAGGAATGTGTGATGCTCTCAGGCATGGGCAACCTTCTCAGAGAATGGGTTTACAAGCTGAGCTCAGACCACTCGGACTAGGAGTCTTCTTCCCTTCCCCCCTTACACCATTGGCGCCCCCTAGAATGGCTGGGAGTGTCTGGGCCATCTGATTTAAGCCCACGGTTTCAGGGAGATGTTTCAACCTGACATGAAAATTGGTTTAGTGCATTCTTGGAGGATTTGTTTCCTTGTGTTTGCCCACAGCCACAAGAGAGAGCCCATGGGAGTCTGGGCTCTCACATACTTCATGGGTATTTCAGAATCATCTGGGTGGGGAGAGTTTGAAGAGAACCAAGATTCCTCCTGCTGCCTGTACCCTTTCTTAATAGCGACCTGCTGCTTCCTCCACTTGAACCTTAAAATCTACCCTGATGTGGACTAGGTTTCTATACACACCAAATAAAAAAGGAATTGATATTAAATCTTCTTTTCTTTAAACATAGATACATTAATTAAGCAAGAAAATATCCATCTCCTTAAGAGATAGATTTATTTCAAATTTTACTTTTTATCTCTACTCACCTATAAAATACATCATAGTTATTCTGTCTTAACCATGTACTAACAATAATTACAGTGATTTGATTCAGAGGAAACATCCTCACACTTAGAACATTATCTTCAAAGGAAATATCAAGCATTTTAAAATGTAAATCTATACACATACTTTTGATGAAGAGAACCTGTGATCTTTTATAAATGTGTGTCCCTGGGCCTCCCTGGTGGTGCAAAGGGTTAAAGCAAAGCACTATGAAGCTATCTGTAGCATCTGTAGCCACTGTAGCAGTTTGATCCCCAGACAGGGAGCTGACCCACAGGGCAACAGAACTTTCCTGTCTGGCACACTTCTTCCCTCAGCAGCATACTTCGTCAATCTGCCTGTTCAGTCTCTGGTGAATCCTCTCACCCCTCCCCTCCCCACCCGACCCTCACCCCACTCCTCTGGCCTATACACCAGTTCTTATATGTATAAGTAAATAAATCTTAAATGTGTGTGTGTGTGTGTCCCTGGACTAGTTGGTGGGTGGTCCCCTCCATTTGTGAGGTTTCCTAGGTCCATGATTTGTGGAGACAGCTCTCTGATGTTGGTGGATTACATGGAGGGAGCTGTTTTCACTTTGCAAAAGTCTGAGAGGCCAATCAAGAATCACTTCTTCAGTGGAAAGCCTATTCTCAATTCTCAAAACCATCACAAAGAAGTCTATTTGAACGCAGAGGAAGGGTGGACAAAGAAGGTGCTAACTCCCTTTCCGCCCTCCAGATGAGCTTTACCTGGGAGTCAATGACAAATATCAGTGCTCCTGTGCCCCGGAAGATCATCTCATAGTCAAATGTAGGGTCAAAAAAGTCAATCTGTCCTGGGAAGTCCCAAATTTGAAAGTTCACGAAGGAGCTGTTGGAAACATCTTCCCGGCAGATCTTGTTTGTGCTCTCCAAGAACAGCGTTTCATTGGGAGACATTTTGTGAAAGACAACTTTCTGAATAGATGACTTGCCGCTTCTTCTCAGGCCCATGAGCAAAATTCTTGGCTTCACCTCTGTGCTGAAGGGATCACTGAAGTCTAAAACTGGAGGAACCACAAAACAAGAATGAGGGGGAGATGCTTTCACAGTGGTTAATTGAAAGGGTTTCACTTCCACCTCAGATGTGATTTACAATTCACAGACAAAGCTACAATACAGAACGCTAACTATACCACTCCCTCACTGGAGGAGCAGCTAAGTGCAAAACAGTGGGAAATGCTGTTTTAGGACCTCTCACACTGACCAGAGGATGGGAAAACCTGTAGGGCCCTCCCTGGTGGTGCAATGAGTTAAGGCATAGCACTTACAAAAGCCACAGTCACTGCAGCACAAGCTCAATCCCTGGGTGGGGATGGGGCGTGGGAGGTGAGGAAGGGGGGAAGAGGGGAGGTGACCCACATGGTATGGCAGACCTCTTAAAAAAATGAAAAAAAAAATAGAATTGACTCACAGGACTGAGAAGATAGGTCTAAGAGAAAACTGTGCATGAATATTCACAGCAGCATTATTCACAATAGCCAAAAGGTGGGGTAATCGATGGCCATCAATTGATGAATGAATTAACAAAAATGAAGGACATTCATACACTGGGATATTATTCAGCTACAAAAAGGAATGAACTCCCAATGCATTCTACAATGTGGATGGCACATGGAAAACATTCTGCAAAGTGAAAGCAGTCAGATACAAAAAGTTACAAATTGGTTGATTCCATTAATATGACTTGTCCAGATTGGAGAAATCCAAACAGAAACTTTGTGGCAGCCAAGGGATAGAGGGAAGGAAAAATGAGGAATGACTGGTAATGGAGTAACTGTTACTGGTTTCTTTAGAGGGATGAAAATGTTCTGGAATTAACTCATGGTATTTAACTCATGGTGATAACCACACATTTTCATGAATATACTAAAACCACTGATCTGTACTTTAAAAGGGCAAGTATCATAGTATACGAACATATCTCAATTAATTAAAAAAAAGGGTAATGATTCAGTAACTAAATAAATAAGAGTAAGAATGAAAATTGGAGAAAGAAACCAACATTTTAATGAAAAAGAATAAAGGCAAATACAGAGCTGTACACATATTAATGACTTTTCTATATTTCTTTTTTTTTTTATCCTTATGAATTATATCTGAGTGTGTCTTTCTCAATCCTTGATCCCAGGCCAAGCACAATCCAATAGAGACTAAAAACAGTCCTTTACTTCTTTATTATAATTTCCCCCCCAAATCCGTAATTGTCTATAGTACATGTTAATACTTGATAATAACTGTAAATTTCTTTTATTGCATATAAAATCTTTTGATATTTGAATTTGCATCATAGGTAAACACACAAACTTCAAGTGAAACAACTGAAGACAGAAAAAATGCACAGGTCAATTACGGACAGACATCACACCACTATAAGGACACTGCACCCCCATTCTACACACACACACACACACACACACACACACACACACACACATTTTCTGTTCATCTGAATCCAATACAAAAAATTGCTGATATACTATAAAGCAGTACTGTGGAAAGAAAACCAGCTGTAATATCAGATTTCTTCTTCATCAGTGACTTCAAGCTACCCACTCACAGTACTGCCATTATAAGTCAATCTCTGCCAAAGCAGGGCAGGAACTGAAAAAGGCAGGACATCCAGTTTCAAAAATATCAGGCTGATAACATGTCATAGCCTTCCCCTTCCATACAATCCCTAAAAACAATATAAGCATGAATACTAACTAGACAAATGAACAAATATAGTTGACTTTGAAATGAAAAAATAATTCAAAGTTGACAAATAATCAAGAAGTCCTGAAGAAAAGCAAAGATCATGTGAAGAGAAAATCTGCAGACCTTAACAATGAATGGTAAACTCTGCTGCATAAAAGAGAAATCGTAGAAACTAAAGTAGATGGGACAGGATTTGGAATACTTGAGAAAGAAAGGCTAAGTACGCGTGTAAACTGTGCACCGCTGCTTACCCCTCCAACATCGACACACACACACTCCAGGAGGCAGTGACTATGGAAGCGTAGGTATGAGAGGAAGGTCATCTTAGACCCGCAGGGGCTAGTGGTGCCCCAAAGGAGAGAACATGCTGCTATACTCCCAAATACTCTGGCCCTTCCTAACTCTCACTCCAATGTGAGCTCAAGACTTCACATTTCCTTAACTGCCAAACATTCGAGGAAAGCCAATATAGAAGAAAATAGAGAATATAAAAGAAAATACAGACTCAATAAGCAGAAGAATGTATAACTGAAGGAGAGTTCATAAAGGAATCTGAAAAAACTTTCTAGTATCATTAAAATACTCTGAGAGAGAAAAAGGAACTCTCCTGCACTGCTGGTGGGAATGCAAACTAGTACAACCACTATGGAAAACTGTCTGGAGGTTCCTCAAACTGCTTAACATGGAGCTTCCCTACGACCCAGCAATCCCACTCCTAGGTATCTACCCAAAAGACACAAAAACACTGATTCAAAAAGATACCTGCACCCCCATGTTTATTGCTGCTTTATTCACAACTGGAAAGACATTGAAACAGCCCAAATGCCCAAAAGTGGATGACTGGATTAAAAAGATGTGGTACATATACACAATGGAATAAATAATACCAGCAACAACAACAACAAAACACATGCCTTTTGCAGCAACATGGATGGAGCTGGAAAAGATAATGCTTAGTGAAATAAGCCAGAAAGAAAAAGAAAAATACCAGATAGTTTCACTCATAGCAGGAATATAAAGGACCAGGCGAGAAAATAATAATAATGAACAGCTATATACTAGAGACATTTTATGGGGATGGAGTGGGGAATGGGATCAAAAACAGTGTGGGGGGGGGTGGGGAATGCATAGTGATGATGCACGGGTGATTTGATGATGGGAAGCCCACGAGATGGAAAAATGCACAAAATAAACTGTTATATTATTTAAAAGAAAATACTCTCAGAGATGAGGGGAAAAAAGGCCTATTCCATCTGGCAATAGCCCCCATATAAGCCCAAATAGGGGGCTTACCAGGACACCCAGGGACAGTACAGGGAATTCAGTCTGATGTGATGTGTTCTCAGGGAGCACTGCTGGGACTATCACTAGCTATCAGCCCTCTACAGGGACGCCTACCTCACCTGGCTGGTAAGTCATACAGACTGGGATATAAGGCCAAGCAATATCATATGTCAGATTTACCCATGCCATTGTAGCCATAAATGTCAAGCCCCAAAGGGTGCAATTTATGGAAGCCTGTGCACCATGGTATTAATCAGGGGCAGTTTACTATGAGCCTTCAATGTGCTGCTAAGGAGCAAGCTTGACACCAGTGTGGGCCTCTGAGAGTCCCGAATTTTTACCAGATCGATGACTAGTCTACATACAATTTCTTTTGAGATTATCCTTATCAAGCCATCAGTAGAAAGCCAGACACCCAGTGGGTGACTAAAGTGTGTACAGGCACAGGGGCATACAATGGCTGACATAGTAAGAGCCGTGGCCTTGAAAAGGGTCACTAATTCCACCACTCTCTTGGCGGTTCTCACCCTACAGCTTAGAGAAGATGCAGTGGTCTCCAGCTCCACTATTATCGCTAATAAGCCACATTTGTAAAATTCTCACCTACGGAATAAACAATTTAGGACAACCAAAAAAAGGAAACAAAATACGGCATTCACGAAATAAGCGCATACAGTTCAGAATGAGAGCAGTCATGAAAAAGCCTCAGAAAGCTTAGAAATAGGCCCTCCCTGGTGATGCAATGGGGTAAGGCACAGCACTATAAAGTAATCCGCAGTCACTGCAGCACAAGTTCGATTTCCAGCCAGGGAGGTGACCCACATGGAGTGGCAGACTTCTCCTGACCCACCCGCTGCTCCCCTCAGCAGTGTATTTCAGTAGATCCACCTGTTCTGCTCCCCACTCTGTTTCTGGTGAATCTTCTCACCCAGGCCCCCACCTCAGCCTGCACCCCTGTTCTGTATGTATAAATAAATAAACCTTTAAAAAGAAAGAAAGAAAGCAAGAAAGCTTAGAAATAAAAATAGTGTGTGTGGAGAGATATATGGATCAAAAAGCAGACTATAAACACATGAAAAATGCAATAGTAAATTAGAGAGTCAAATTCTCTCAGTATGTTATAGAAGCTGGGAAATATTAATCAAGATTAAAATGACATTAGTAATGCAATTCAGAAGTCCTATAATTCTGTCAAGAAAATTCTAGAGGAGAAAATATAGAATATAGAGAAAGTAATAGTTAACCAAACAACAGGTCTCTCCCAAACTAAGACAACACTCAAAATGAACAGACCTGCAGATTTGCATGGAAATCTGATGGGTGCCATGTAGCTCCCAGCTTGCAGACAAAGACATCGTAACTCTTTGCATAGCTGGCCAGACCTTTCAAACCTGACTTATAGAAGAAGCCAAAAGGCAGAAGTAAAGGAATTATCTTCACCCCTGGCTATGTTTCTAGTATGAATGGTACAAAACCACTGGCAATAGATGTTTTGCAAATTTTTATGTCACGCTCCTAGAAAGTTTGATTACTCTGGAGCTGGAAATTCAGATGGTAACCTACAAGAAAGCACAGCGGGAAAATGGAGAAAAGATGTTCTTCCTGTAACTGATGACTTAGCTATCGGACCACAGATACTAGGTGGATCTAGCCTGGGTGGATGAATTATGCTTCATGCAGCAATTGCACAAAAGGTGGCTGTGCTGATCAGTACCGCTATCGCTGCAGATAGCCGGTTAACACAGTTCAACCAGCTTCCTGTTGAGGTAAAAAAGGAAATAGAAATGAAAGGTATGTGAGCCTTACCATTAAAATACAATGAAGCATCAGCTTACCACATTCTGTGCAGTTTCATTAAAGAAGCTGAACACCACTGCTTGTTGCAATTCCCTATTCCTGTGATCTATGCTGTAAGACTGCTCTATGGCATGAAGGATGATGTCATACCTTGGCATACATCCATGAAAGTTGCTAATTGAGTAACCAGCACAGATGTAGATGCTGTCCTCAGAAAAAAAACAGT